AGAGAATATGAAGTGTGGAAATAGTTGTTTTTGAGTATGTTTGGCATGCTTTTTCACTAGACTATCTACCATATGAAACTACTCACAATGAGAAGCTTTCAAATCCAACGTTTCCCCTTTTTGAGAGTTGGTATGAAAAAACAATTACCTTAATATCTTCTAGCATCCCTTCAAAATCTAGACCGACTGTTTTTGGATCGTAATAGCGATATTCAGACCAGGGTACTCTGGCATCATTGAAAATGTTTTTGTGATTACCTGCAAAAATAACCTGATCATAACCAGTTTTTACAAATAAATGTTGCAAAATAAAAATGGTGCATACCCCAAGTTGGAGATGAAATCAAAACTTTTGAGCCAGGGAAATAACGCTCAATTAGTGCTGCTGCAAGTCGTAAAGATCCAGTTCCTGAAAGACCTTGAACAGTTCCCACCTGAATAAAACATATAAAATACTATGTTACACTGACCTTTTAAAAAATCATATATATTAACTCTGGCTTAGAAAACTGGTTTGTATGAAATGAAAAAACAAGACTTCTGATACCCTTTGTTGTCGAATCACTTCATTGTCTGCACCAAACAGCAACTCTGCGGTGACTTTGTTGAAGGCAGCCAAACCTTCTATTGGAAGATACTGTAAGAAAAACTAAAACAGTGAGAAATACATAAAAATAATACAAATTGCTCTAAAATGATATTCAGTCTGTCGTGCATTCACCTCTTTATTTTCTCCGTTCTGTAGCATAAGGTTCTCCGCCTGTGGAACATGAGTTACAATACAGGCAAAAAGGCAGATCAGTCCCCACTTTGGAATCTTTGTTCAGATGTAAGAACTAGAGTTTAAACTTTCAACCCATAGTATGTGTTTGAAAATGAATATAACCCAAAACAACCGAATGTATGTTATCAGCTATTGTCATGTTTATTGGACTAATGAAAATGAATTTACCTTCTTGACGACATCAAGAACATAAGGTTGAAGTTCTTCTGTACGGTACGCTCCTACTCCAAGATTAAGCTTCAAATCATTTGTATCAGCTCTGAATGCTTCAGATACTCCAAGAATGGGGTCTGGAGGAGCCATAGTTATGCCCTCAAAACGAGAAACATTAACCGTGGCAACCATTTTTATCTGACCACGGGACTGAGGAAAAGATAACCAGTTAAAAAGATAAGATTTCGAATACTGTAACAACATGTTATTAGGAGCATGTGTCTTTCTACTCGCATGTGCATGAACATATTACTTTTACTGTGCCTCGGATTAATGAATGCAACACAGCTCCAGAAATGAGAAAACACTCATTTTGGTCCCTATGTTTTGATTATGTGCACTCGTGAATCGATTTAGGATCCATATGTTTTGGTGGGTCAAATTGGTCCTGGTAGTTAAAAATGTGAATCAACTTAGTCCCTTTAACAAAATTTATTCAACGGCGTCAGTGAAACACACATTTGGCACGTTATATGGTCCTTCCTCATTCTAAGTACATACGGAGTATATGCTAGTCGCATTTGTCCGTATACGTAGTAATTACTAACCCATGTAACATTAACTAAGATGATTCACATTTTACTCTATCATTTAAATAATATCCATTAGAGGCACTAATGATTCACATTTTTTAGCTAGAGACTAGTTTGACTCCAAGTACTTAACATATCGGGACCAAATCGACTCACGAGTGCACAGACACCAAAATGAGTGTTTTCCCAATTGGAAATCCTCACTATGTACCTATGTTCACTAAAAACTACTCGGTATGGAAATATTTCTTTCATGTAAATCAAAGCCACACGCCTTTGAGGAACTCACGAGATCTTTGCCGGAAAGTAAACCATGTTCATAGCTCCAGGGCTTCAATTTGATCTGCTCGAAGAAGTAAGATCGGAAACACATTTCACCGCGTTAAAACAACCAAATCCAACACGATTCAATCGCTTAATCACAGGAAAAAAAACAATTAGATCTGATACTCTATTTCGGAAGCTGGTATTGAGCTTCGCCTGCGAAGACAGTGAAGCTGACGGTGAAGCAGAGGCGAGAGGAGAGAACGTCGTCGAAGCCATTGTGATCTGGATGCAGAAGATGATGATGATGATAATCTGTTAAAAGTCTGATAATCGATCAATATCACTGCGTTTTAGAACATTAACTGCTAACCTGAAACCCGTTTGTTAATTAACTTTGAGTATGAGTGAGGATCGTTCCCAATATTTGGATACAAATTAGGGTACTCCGTCCCATATTAATTACGGAGTATTAGGAATAATTATTTATATCCTAGAAGTAAATTGCTTTTTTTATTAGTATTAACGTTTTAGATAAAATTTTAATGATGTAAATTAATTTTGAAAAATGTTATATGTAGTCTGTAGATAGCCTAATTATATATATATATATATATATATATATATATATATATATATATATATATATTGAAGAAAAAATAAATACAAGGGTATTTAAGTAATTTTATTGTTTTATCTATCTTGCATTACCTAATTTTTACCCAAACACCATTTTTTAATTTGTTCCCTTCAATTACCTACCTTCAATTACCACCTAATAAAACTTTAACTACCTCAATCCAAACATACCCTAAGAATATTGGTTAAAACTTTGTTCATATTTCACAAATTGAAAAAGTTTTGTTACTCATAATGTTTTGGAGGGACAAAGGGAGTATTACCTATTAACGTATACTAAATATGTAAAAGATCTAACAAAATTAGTTGAGGAAAATCAACTCAGATAAGATTAAAACGTGAAATTTCTGTTAATAAGATCTCTTATACTCCGTATTTTACAGTCTAGATAAAACTATTGACAATGTGAAACGTTTGCAATTTGACATTATGTATTCGTAGCTTATACTCCGTAATACCTTTTCACATTAAATAGTCCGTTTGTGGATAGTGTTTTCGATTAAAATCTTGAGTTATTCAATTACGATTTTCAAAAGTCTTAAACCATCTTTAAGTATTCAAAATTCATGGATTTCTATATTCCATGGATTTTGATGGATTCTTTCTCAAAAATATAAAGAGATTTCACTCTTCAAAATTTCCTCTAACCATGTCAGATTTATAAAAGTATTCTTCGTCGGTAGGGTTTTGCGAGAGTGTATATGGTACATCCGGATATACCTAGAGATAGCTACATCCATGTAGTACTCATTCCGAAGTATAGTAGTACTCATTCTCGCACAAGCATAATGGTTCATTTGAAAAAATGTGGTACACATTCTAAAATAATGCAGTACTCATTCAGAAATAATGTCGTACTCATTTTACAAATTTGTTGAATATTCATTTACGAATAACATAATGTTCATTATAAAACACACTAGTACTCATTCCCATATAAACTAGTACTCAATCTTAAATAATGTACCATTCATATGTAGTTTGAAATCTGGTAGGAAGCACAAGACCATCGCTTGGAAGCAGAATACCATCGTTCATATCAAGCAACTTTCAGATAGCGGATCAGACCTTCAACCTTCATCGTCCTCCGCCGATTGGACTTCCAAAGAACCTTCATCTTCATCGGGTAATTGCCGGACCTTCATCCGCAAATCGCCGATCGGGAATCCAACCATCGCGCAGCTTCCTTCATGGCCGATCGATTCGCCGGTTCTTGCCCTAATTCCTCCGTTCGCCCTAATTAATTTCTGGCTATACAGTTCTTCCCGTACAGCCGGATGTACGGTATAATTTGCGGGGTTTTGCAAGACCGTGTCATTTTCTTTGTTCATCCTAATTGCTTCGTCAATATCGTCGCCCAAAACTTCTCATCACTAGGGGCGAGCAAGTGCACCTTCATCGAAAAATTGTTCCAGCACCTTCATCAATATTTTTTTAATAGTTCCATCACTCACTTCAAAAAGAAGAAGAAAAAAAAGTTCCATCACCAAGGTCCAAGGAAATCCATGTATGAAAAAAGTGTTTTTTTCAATTCTTTCAAGTCAATGAAAATTCACATAAATCAATAGCAAAATCAACCAAACTCTACACGAAGTCTATAGATTTTCTAAGTCCACCGACTTTTTAAATTCAAAAACAATCCAATGAAATCCCAATTTAATACACCCTCATAAATGTGTGAAAGATCTAACAAAACTAGTTGAGGAAAATCAACTCAAATAAGACTAAAACGTGAAATTTCTGCCTATAAGATCTCTTACATTTTAGTCTAAATAAAACTATTGACATTATGTATTCGTATCTTGTACTTCGCAATACTTTTTCGCATCAACGTTAACATTTTAGATAAAACATTAACAGTGCAGATTAACTTTGAAAGCGCTAAACGCTGCACAGTAACAGTGCAGATTTACTTTGAAAGCGCTAAACGTTATTCCCAAACATGCATTTAGTTTGACAATATAAAATTCACTTTGGTATAAAAAACATTGAAGACGTTTTGATAATAGACAATTTGTTTAGGTACAACATTCTTTATTTTAATGTTATTAACTTTCCGAATTAATTTTTAATAACACAGATTAGCTTTGGATATGTAAAAATTAAAGGTTGATTTTGGACAATTGTTTTAAACACTAAAATTGAACGTTAAAACTATTCTAAAACGAGTATTTTTAAGATATGCTTATTCGGGTTTTAGTTTGATCGAGTTCAAATCGGATGAAACCAATGAACTAGGGGTGAACATGTACCATACTGTCACCGAAAATTCCCGAATTACCCGTACCAAATTTTACCAAACCGAAAAATTCCGAAAAATCTTGAACTGTACCAATTTTTTAGGCTGGTATTTGAGAATGAGAATGAGCTTTGTCTCGAAACGAATTTCCCGTACTGAACTACTGTAGCAACTAGCAAATATATATATTGAAGTCCAGTCCAGCCAAATTTGGGAATGGGAATGGCCTAATTATATATATATATATATATTGAAGTCCAGTCCAGGCTGTCCAGCCAAAGCCCTAAACTCCCTAGCCCTCCTATTTCCGTTCCCCATAGAAAGCGGAAGTAGCCAAAAGCCCAAACCCAAGCACCAACGGAAATTGAAAAAGACGCCAGAAGAAAGTCGCCGAGAGAGAGACGCCGTCGCCCGCCTGCACGCTCCACTGCTGCAGAGTCTAGCCGCTGCCCGCCAGAGGCCACCTCGCCGGAAACTCTCCAGCCTCCAGGTCCCGGAGTCCAGGTACGGAGGTAAAAAAATACTAATTTCAAAATTTCTTTAAGAATTTTACATTTTGTTATGTGTAAATATGAAAAATATTTAATCTTTATAAATTTGTGGTATGAATTTGTTATGAACTTTTGTTGTGAATTTGAATATTTGTTATGTGAATTTCTCATGTGAAAAATTGAATTTTTTATTTGAAATTTTTGCTAATTGTTATGAATTTGTTGTGAAAATCTGAAATTCTTTTAATTTAGTAATATGAAAATCTGTTTTTTTTTTTTTGGAAATTTAACGTTTGTACTGGATACATTTTTTCTTTATAATTTTGTACTGGCTCCATTTTAGATAGCCTCTGCTCCATTTTTTCTTTATAATTTTGTACTGGTTACTGCTTATTTGTCATGAATGGGCAGAATTACTGCTATGCCAAATTTATGATTTCCACCCATTTTTTTGCTACTGTAATTGGTAGTTTGTTTTTGGGAAAAGTAGGCTTTCCTTTACAAATCCTTGTTTTTTTTCTAAAAAAAATAGTCTTTGTTTAAAATGATTGTTTAAAGAGAACCATAATTTATGCTATCAAATAGTCTTTGGACAGCAAGGGCATTTTATGCTCTCAAACTAGGATATTTTAAGATGATATATGGTTTGAATTTATGCTCCAGAATTTACTCCATTTTGATCAATTTTTTATTTTCTTCATAAAAAATTGAATCCTTCATTTTTTTTGGTACTTTGCAAAATTGCAGATGACTTCAATGCTGTATTTTTGCCTTTTTTTTGAAGCTACTGCTTTTGTAATGCTACTTTTGGTTTTGTAATGCTTTTTTTAATCTTTTGTACTACTGCTACTGCTATTTACATTTACAGTTTTTCTATTTAAGACAAATGTTTCTACTACTATTTTTATTGCCAATTGTGTATTATACCTTGCTTGTTTAAAAAAATCCTGAAAAAATCCCATACCGACATCATTTTTCCCGAACCGTACTGTACCAATATTTGGGGATCGGTAATGGTAAATTGTGAAATCCCATACCGAACCGAAAGTTATGGTACGGTATCGGTACGGACATAATCCCGTCCCATACTGTACCATGCTCACCTACTTGCTAAAGCTTTTAAAGAACAAGCTAAAATACTGCTTCTTATTTTGGTTCCATTGCTTGTGAACTTTGAGCTCTGCTTTTCTAGCCTTATAGCTTCATCATATGTTTGGGTTGGTTTGGTTTGGTTTTGCGTTTCCAAATGCTGAATTCTTATCTGTCTCAACAGGATACAAGAACAAGTGTGGCTGCTAAAGTTATGGTACGTGTGTGTGTGTGTTTCTAGGAGGAATCGTATGAGGAATCTATTCAAGTTTCTAGGATTCCGTGTGTTTGTCCAATTGTTTACTCACGGATGTTTTGGATATTTTGTTAAAATTGTAGGATACTTCTGGAAAGATGGATAAAGAGATTGATAAAGAGATGGATAAGAAAGTAAAGAAGTACCTCAGAGGCGAACCGGCAAAATTGGATGTATGATGCTAAGATGTTATTTATTCTTCTAAATCTTAATTTTTTAAAATTATTATGGGGTATAACTAGGAAATATGTTTGGTTATTTGCAGGTCTTGACTGACAAGAAGTTGAAGGGACAGCTTTCTGTCAGAGAAGAGTTGTATGTAAGATCTGCACAAGCTGCTGCGAAAGCCGAAAAGGTTTCTTTATCACGGAAAACTCAATTCGCCACTTCAAAGTGTTAAAGTGACTCTAATAGCTTCTACCTGTATATCATGGTTGTACTAATGCTTCAAAGCTTTATTTCATCAGTGGCTAATGCCAAGTGAAGGGGGCTACTTGGAAACCGAAGGGATTGAGAAGACATGGCGGGTAAAGCAGGAGGCAATTGGCCGCGAAGTAGACATTTCGAGTGCCAGAAACCAATATGATATTGTCTTACCAGGTTAGGACTGGGCCCTTATATTTGTATTACTCCCTCAATCCAAGAATTTTTGTCTCACTTTCCTTTTTGGTCTGCCCATAAATTTTCTTCTCATTTCCTTTTACAGCAAAGAAGTTTGCCTTTATTGTCAAACTTACCCTTCCACTATATTTAACACTATTCGTCCAAGGGTTAATGTGAAAAGTCAATGTTTTTTTCAATCTCTTATTAATGTGTTTCGGGTCAAACCCGAATAAATTCTTGGATAGAGGTGGTATTTCACTTCCAATATGAAAATAGTACCCATTGTTTGCATCTTTTAAAAAGCACCCTTGTGATTTTGTTAGTTAATTTATGCTAATTAGGATGGGGTTGCCAAATGTTTTATTTGTTAATCCAAATTGTAAAAGTTGAAGGCTGTTTTTCATTCCAATTTACTAACACTATGTTTGGTTCAAAGAACTTGAAAGAGAAGAAAAAAGAAAATAATATAAATAGTTTTCGTGTTTTGGGTAGTGAGGAAAAGAAAAGAAAAGTAGAAGGAAAAGAAAATGAGAGGAGAGAATAAACTAAGAAAAGGGAAAACAACTTTCATCCCATTTTGATGAAGAAAATGGGAGAAATCCTTTATCTTTTCTTTTCCTTCTGAATTCCACTAACCAAACATAGTGTAACTGTGTAAGGGTTTTTTTGGATGGAGGATTCTGGAGGGGAAGGGTGTGGATAGTTTAGAAACATAACTTTATGCTTTGATGTGTTTGTGTGTAACTTTCAAAGATTAAAATCGTATGCAATTGCATAATGTTTCAATTATCTTTTGTTCGTCTTTTAAAAACATTCTATCTTTATCATGATATAGGGTAAGCCCTCCAAAATCTTCCCTTAGTTATGATGTTTATATACTTCATAATATTTCTCAAGAATGTACCTTTTAATATGTTTTTGCTATAAATAAGTATTCCTCGCAAGTTCTAGTAAACTCCTGATTCAAAAACATCTATTGACTTCATTTTTAGTTCAATGTCAAACAACATTGTTTTTAAGAATCTTCTCGCATGAAATTTTATTCATTGCCTTTGCAGATCTTGGACCTTACACTCTTGATTTCACGCCCAGTGGTCGCCACATGGCTGTAGCTGGTCGGAAGGGACACATTGCTATTGTAGACATGAAAACGCTGAATCTTATTAGAGAACTACAGGTAATATTTGTGTTGCTAATCAGCGACTCGTACTTTTATACACATTTTTTATTGTGAATTGGAACGAAGTAACAATTTTATGTTTTCCAGGTTAGAGAAACGGTGCGCGACGTAGTCTTCTTGCACAATGAACTATTTTTTGCTGTTGCTCAAAAGAAGTAAGACACTTTTTGCCTTTCAAATATTGCTCACATTATAAATAGTGTTTGTTCTTTAATAAAATAAAATTTATGTTATTATGATTTTTCATTTTCTCCTCTTCTAACCAACTAATGTAGGAATGAATCTATAAAAAAAATGTTAACAGGTATCCATACATATACAATAGGGATGGTACTGAGCTCCATTGCCTTAAGGTTACCAATTTACCTGAAATTTTGTTTACATTCTTGAAAAATTCCTATTTTAAATCTAGTTTTAGCACATTGGGTTTTTTTTAAATAGAGAAACATGTAAAACTTAATTCTACTTGTTTCTTGCAGGAGCATGGTTCTGTGCTAAAGCTCCAATTTTTAAAGAACCATTTCCTATTGGCATCAATAAACAAATTTGGTCAGCTCCATTACCAGGATACAACCACAGGGGAGATGATTGGAAATTACCGAACCGGCCTTGGTCGTACCGGTGTGATGAGAGCCAATCCCTTCAACAGTGTGATAACCGTCGGGCATCCTTGTGGGACGGTCAGCATGTGGAAGCCCACGAGCGCTGCCCCCCTTGTGAAGATGCTCTGTCATTATGGTCCGGTCACTGCCCTAGCCTTCCACACCAATGGCCATCTAATGGCGACTTCCGGTATGGATAGGAAGATAAAGATTTGGGACTTGAGGAAGTATGAAGTCGTCCAAACGTTACACGGCCAAGCCAAGACCCTGGACTTCAGCCAGAAGGGCCTCCTAGCCAGCTCAGCAGGATCTTTCGTCCAAATCTACGGCGACTTCTCTGGGTCCCATCAGAACTTCACCCGTTACATGACACACTCTATGGTCAAAGGGTACCAAACACAGAAATTGATGTTCCGACCATACGAGGACGTGTTGGCCATCGGGCACTCCTCGGGCTGGTCTTCGGTCTTGATTCCCGGGTCGGGCGAGCCCAATTTCGACACGTGGGTGGCGAACCCGTACGAAACGCCGAAACAGAGGAGGGAGAAGGAGATTCGGTTGCTCCTCGACAAGCTCCCGCCCGAGACGATCATGCTGGACCCCACAAAGATTGGGACAGTCAAGAGAAGTAATAGTGCCACTGAGAAGGGGAGGAGGAAGGAGGAGAGGGAGGCGGCGATGGAAAACGCCGTCAAGGACGCCAAGAGAGGCGGGCAGAAGAAGAAAACCAAAGGGAGAAGCAAGCCGAGCCGAGTGGCGGGGAAGAAGCAGGAGGCTGTTGTGAAGGCAAAGAGACCATTCATTGAAGAGAAGATGAAAGATGGTGTGGTGACCAAGAAGAAGCAGAAGAGGTTGTCAATGGCAACAACCGCCGGAAATGACGACATTACCCTTCCGCGCGCTCTTCAGCGCTTTGTCAAGAACTAGCAGCATCCAAGCCCAGGTTCTCTTTGTTTCTCATACATAAATTTTTGGACCTCCTGTTTCTTTAATGTCTTGTAGTGCTTTTAATTTCTATACCTCTATTTTAAGCTGTATTCTCTTTTCTTTTTGAAAAATATCGTTTTATGACAATATTGCCCCCACCCCCCAATAGGTTGAGATTATTGGGATATTTTGGTGTTAAATCGAGGGCTAAAATGTAATATCAAATGGACCCAACATCCTTCTTGCCATAGCCAATGCTAGAATCGCCGCCTTCCACAATTATAGTCCACAGTTGTCATCACTTGTCGGAATCCAAGTCTGCACCCATAATCATTGTTGTTATATTGTCCATCAAGCCAGCACCAATCATAATGCATAGTCGGATCTAGAGTCTATGTAAAATTATATTTTTAGTACTTAATTTAAAGTCAACATAAACAAATGTCAAATACAGGATTATCTTAAAAATGTGCCCATAAACAAAGAATCATAATCGTAATATTTGGTGATAGAAGACAAAATATGAAAACCCTCTACTTTTAAATAACCACTTTCAAAATTTACTCTATTCATTCAACATAGATACGTCTCTGGTAATTATTTTCTTAAGAGGCAAAACTTTTAACTTTTCATGTCTCCATTTTATCTTTAATTATCAGTTTCTTTTCACTTTTCAGCTTTTACTCTTTTCGTTTTAAAATATTTGTCTAGTTTTAACTTTTTGCAATCAATCATAATTGATCTTTAACCTATAATTAAATAAAAATTACGTGGTATATCAATTGGACAAAATAAGATTTTGAGAGTATTTTATAAGACAAATCAAATAAATATACTCCGTATCATTGTATCAATATTTTTTATAAATTTTATACTCCGTATCACTCATAGTCAAGCTTTATCAATTTTAACTATAAAAATCAAAACTGAACTCGGGATGGAGGTAGTATATCTCCACAAGTCTACTTTCTTCTTCTAATACTTTAAAATAAATCTTTAAAGTGTATGTTGAGACTCAGGAAATGGAGGGAAAAAGTGGAGAGGAAAAAAAAGAATGAAAAGATATTATAAAAGTGGAGAGGAAAAAAATGAAAAGAAATTATAATGATTTTGAATTTCTATAGGTAGGTTTGGATGAATGGATCCTCAAAGAAGAAGAAAGTAGACTCATCACAATGTCATATTATAGTATCATCATTTTTTCCATTACACTAAAAACACTCTTACATCACACTGTTATTTCACTCATGTTTTAGTGTTAAAAGATTTAAAACTTTTATTTTGATATTTTCATACTTTTTTACTCTTAGATCTTTTATGACAAAATCTTTCATTACGATAATCAATGGTGAACCTTCATATAAATCAAACCAAGATAAACATTTTTTAAATCAATAAATAATATAATTATTTATGAAAAATATTTTTTATTTTTTCACCATAGGAAAAATTAAACTTTTATTCTACTTTCTTTTTTTTTCATTTTTCTTTCACTTTCCTCTTAAACAAACAAAGCTTCAAGTGTCTATTTGGTTAGCAAAAGATATATAGAGGCTGTTTGGCAGTGTGTTGCTTTTAATCATTTAGCTTCTGCTTTGAATAGAAGTGATTTTACTCAGTTTGGTATGTCAGCTTCTGCTTTTCACAACCACTATTTTGTACATAGAACACCGTTTCGGAGAAGCAGGTAGGAGGTGCTTCTGCTTTCAGCTTTTGTGGAAATCACTTTATACATAAGTTAATCACTCCCAAACACCCTCATAGTTTATGATATATCGAGATTTTCAAATTCTTTTATAATGTTTGGTGAAAGTATGAAACATGTTTCAAATTTGATATCCCTATATACCAAAATTCTATAAAACGAAGAGTTTTGATATTTTTTTGAAATCGAGAAATATCAAACACAGACCACTCCAGTCGCCGCCTTCCATCTTCATTGTCCGCTCGGTGTTGACCAACTCCATCGTCAATCACCCATCTATCATTTATAACAATTACTCTGTATTTTATATCTCTCGAAATAATTTCATTTTAATTTCAAAATTTATATTCATTACTTTTACTAAATTTCAAAAGTTATATCATACTCCCTCCGACCCTAAATAAACTCACCTTTCCATTTTTTCTTTGTCCCCAAATAAACTTCTCTTTTCCTTAAAAAACCCCTTTTACCCCTTACTTTTTCATACTATACCTATCACATCATACCTTTTTACTAATAATCTATATATCACATCTTACTTTTACACATCACATCAAGAGTATTTTTGGAAAGTCAACACAAAAATATTCCTTCCTTAAATCTTCAAAAAGTCAAAAAAGGAAGTTTATTTATGAACGAGGGAGTATCAATCTTTTAAGTATGAAAGAGAAATATGAATATGATTTGGAGGAGTTACATGGAAGTTGAGTGCAATGAACCCCTTCAAACAAGTGCATACCAAAATGGGTATAAGTGAAGTCATAAATGGGTTTACAAAGTCAAATCTATGATTATAAAACTTTGAGTTCTCTCTGGTCTATCTTCCTCCATCTTCTTCTTCCCACCATATAAGATCTCTCAATTTTTTCCTATCCTTAAATCAATATCTGGGATTCTGGGTAAGATGTTAGCCAAGCAGCACCATTCTTCCCATTTCCCTTCCCCTTCTTGTTTTCGCCCAAGTAGCTCCGCCGGCGGAGGCGGCGGCGGAAATCGGTCATCGAAGGTGGCGCCGCCGTTCCCGGCAGCTCCGACGCTTGCCACCTCGCTTTACCATACTGAGTTGGGCGTTTTCGCCGTCACTTGGTCCCGGAGCATGCTCGGCCGGTCTTTCCACCTCCATTTCGCCCTGGACGATTCCCCTTCGGCCGCGGCGGCGGAGGAAGACGACGTGCTTGGTAAGCCGTCGGCCGCCGTCGCCGCCCCGTCGTTCCACCTCCACATCAAGCCCTTCGTCTTCTGGAAAAAACAGGGATCCAAAAGGCTCCAAATCGGCTGCGGCGGAAAAATCAAGAATGCCCACATCTTCTGGGATCTGTCGAGAGCCAAATTCGGGTTGGGACCCGAACCCAGATCCGGATTCTACATTGCCGTTGTCATCGACGGCGAAATCGTCCTCCTCGTCGGAGACCTCCAAAGAGAAGCCTACTCCAAAACTCGGGCACGAAATCCGGAGACCGGCGCCGGCCAAGTAATGGTGCTGAAAAGAGAACACGTCTACGGGAGCAGAGTATACGTCACCGAGGCCTCCGTCGGCGGTAAGGACCGGAACATATGCATAGAGTGCCGGATCTCCGGCGACGACCCGAGACTGTATTTCTACGTGGACGGCAAAAGGGTCCTCCAAATCAAGCATTTGAGGTGGAAATTCAGAGGCAACGAGAGAATCGAGGTGGAGGGGTTCCCGATCCACGTCTCCTGGGACGTCCACAACTGGCTGTTCGAGGACGACGACGACGGCTACGCGCTGTTCATGTTCAGATTCGAGGAGGAAGGCGAGTGCCACTCACGCGCCGCCGGGAAAGCGGCGAACAGCTGCGGGTTCGGGTTCGAGACGAAGATGATGAAGAAGGGGCTGCTGAGGACGGCGAGGAGCTCGTCGACGTCGGCGTCCCTGTCGTCGGCGTCGTCCAGCTGTAGCTCGGTGATGGAGTGGGCCAGCACAGAGGAGAACGAACTCAAGGGCCCCACAGGGTTCTCTTTGCTGGTCTACGCTTGGAAAAGTTAATTACTTTTTCTTTATTGATTTTTCAATTTTTTTTTTGCTTCAAAATTTCTTTGCATTTACGGAGTAACTGAAAATTCAAAGGCGACTCATTCTCCATGTAAAAGTGTAAAACCAATACAATGAAAATAATTAAACATATACAAAAATTCTTTACCCATTAACTTTATCCCGGTTTTTAGTGTGGATTTTGATTTGATCTCAAAAGTAAAAAGTGATGGTCTAATTGAAAATTACTCCCTCCGTCCTATAATATTTTTTTCGGTTTTATTTACGAAGTTTGACCGACTTTATTTTTAATTCAATTTATTTGATTGTAGGTGTAAAAATAAAATTTATATATTTAAAAACTACATCAAAAGTTCTACAAAACAAGTGATGTCAAGACTATATTATTTTATCAAATACCTAATGAAAATAGGTAAAGAAAATGATTAAAGTTTGATCGTGTGAATAGTAAGTGGGAAGAATATTTCAGGACGGAGGGAGTATATTAGAAACAAAAAAATAAAAGCTATAAATTGCAAGGTCAATACTAGTATGCATTACTCCATTATTTCCTAAATCCTTTTCTTATTTGGATTTTTATGAGATTTAAAGAAATAATATTTTTGTGTTGACTTTTTTAAATTACTCTCGGAGTGATTAGCAAAAATAGGATATGATGGTAGACTATTCGTGAGTAGGCACGATGTGATAAGTAAAGTATGAATAATTAGTAGGAGTTAAACTATATTTTTTTTATAGAAAAAAGAGTTTTTGAGACCCATAAAAAAGAAAAGAGAAATATTTTTAAGAACAAGGAGTATTTTGTATAGGATGATGCTTACGTAGACTTAATGTCCACATTTAAAATAAGGACTTTCTTACATTTTTCATGAGTTTGCATGTAGAGCATTTTCTTTTTTTTTGAAAAGGCCTACTTCGTATAAATAAATACCATACGGGCATACCCCTATATCTCAAAGTTTTCGCAATGCCCCGGCCGTAGTTCAACTGGTCAAAAGGGCAGTGACACAATATGTTAATTTGAATTGGAATCTTGGCAATGGCAAAAAAAGGATGGAATTCTTGCAAGTCTCAAGACAACTTACATTCCCTCTAAACGAGATGAGTATTATAACTCAATTTAACTTTTTTAGCATATTGTCATGATAGATACTGGAGGGACCCTTGAAATTTAGATATAACTTTTATCCCAGTTGTCTCATATTAGCTATTGAAAGAAATTGCGACAAGGTGTTTAAAATATCTAAAAGATGGACATTTTTTACATGAAATAATGACTCATCATTTTAAAAACTAATGTGACATTTTAAACTAATTCTCATAAAGGGTACATTTAAATTAGCCGTGGGATAGACTTGACATAAAATTACAATGTCGTTACATTACTCTTATTGGGAGCATCTATGGTATTTCATCCGATCTGAAAGTTCATTGAACCCCTCTAGTTTCTCTTAAACTCATCCCACGCATCCACCCAAACTCATTGTAAATAATGCAATTTAATAAAATGCCGGTTAACGGAAGTTTTTGAAAATGCCTGTTTTTTGCAAATAAATGAAAGGTGTG